GGCACAGAATGGTCAAAGCGGGCCACCCGAGCCATGGCTGGCGTCCAGGAAGCAGCATGCAGGCTCTGACCGCACGCTGGACGCCCCCCGTCCCCACAGACCAAGCGCCTACCAGCTTGCTGGCCAGCATTCGCCTGTCCTGGAAAGTGCTGGAACCCACTGACAAGCCCTTCCTCTCCAGTTCCTTTTTCTACACCCCATAATAAGTGCCCTTTCTGTTTCCAGCTGTCATTACATCACCCCTCATTCCAACCAACTTTCGTAACGTGTTATTTCGGAGCTCACATGTTGTTAACGCTCAACCATGGCAGTTTCCCCGATGCCACGGAGGAAGGCACCCCGACCTCACCCGCGGCGACTCTCCAAGGCCCGCCGCAGGATGGCGGGGTTCTGGGAAGAGTGCGCGCCCCCTCCCCGACCCGCCCCGGCCCCGGGTGCCCCCCCCCCAGCTATGGCTCCGCGGTGGGAAGATGCAGCCACACCGTTCGTCCTTTATATCGCACAACACCTTTAAGCGCATTACATAATGTATTTATTTTGGTTTTTGTTTGCTTGTATCGGCTCCACACCCCCACCCCTCCCCACCCACGCACGGTAACGGCGGCTTTATGAGGGCAAGGATTTCTATTTGGGTTTTATTTTGTTTTTTAAAAAACTGTTTACTTCCAGCCCTTTTTTTGTTTTCTTAAAGTTTTATTTGTTTATTTACTTGAAAGGCAGTGTTGGAGAGAGGGAGAGACAGGGGAGAGGTCTTCATCCCCTGGTCCCTCCCCCAGATGCCCACAACGTCCCAGGCTGCGCCAGGCCAAAGCCAGGAGCCAGGAGCACCATCCAGGGTCTCCCACATGGGTGGCAGGGCCCATGCACTTGGGCCATCTTCTGCTGCCTTCCCAGGCACATTAGCAAGGAGCTGGATTGGAAATGGAGCAGCCAGGACTTGAACCAGCGCTCATATGGGATGCTGGCATCCCAGGCAATGGCTTAGCCCACTGCGCCACAATGCCTGCGCCTTCTTCCTTATTTCCATTCTGCTTAAGAGCCTGTGGAAGAGCAGCTTGGGCCCCCTCCGTGTGGCTCCCACCCAAAGCACAGTGCGCCTGGGAGCACAGGCTGAGGAGCAGTCTCTCACCCTGAAGTCCTGCTTCTGTCACAGCTTTCTCAGCAGTGGCCTGCTCTTCCTTCTGCATCTCTCAGGGGCTCTGTGAAAGTAAGGACCAGGCGACACCTCCCCCTGGGTGTTCAGGAAGTGATGCCGTGCAGAGGCATGACCCCCTAGGCCAGCATCTGCCACCTCGGACGCACGGAGTAGGCGCCCTTGTTGCACAGCTGCAGTGCCCACGTGGTGCACAGGAGATTCTCTGGTGTGCGGGTTCAAGGTCGGATGCCTCTGGGTGAGCCTGGTGGCCAGCCCTGGGATCAGGAACCACTAGGAGATACAGCTCCTGGTAGGCTGCCTCTGTTGTCTGTTTGGCAAAGGTTACAGGCAAGAAGGACCGGCAACGGGATGGCCCAGTGGCAGCAGCGAGCGTCAGTACGGCCCACGGGCCAGTGTTCCTGGAGGACGTGACACTGACGTTGGCAGGGTTTTCCGTGGCAACCGGAGCATGAGCTGCCAGCAGATGCCTCTCCAGGGTCCATCGCGCTTCCCTGTGGAGATGGGCTGCCCTATTTAGAAGCCAAGGTCGATGTTCCCAGAGTGTGTTCTTGCTGCGAGGAGTTGGAGGACAGCCCCCTCTTCCCCCTCCTCCACTTGCAGGGAACCGGGGGCCCTGGATGTTGCGAAGGTTTCCCTTTCCGCTACACCGGGACTCCAGAGAGATGCCGCACGGACCCCTCCCCTGTACCCCTGCTGCCTCGGGCAGTGCCTGGGAGGCCGTCACTCACTCAGCACTTGCTCAGTGCAAAGCCACCACAGGGATGCACGACACTGAGACGGGTGTGAATTTTCCCTTTCCTGACAGTGTCTGGCGTGGAGATCCTGGGTCATTTGTTGATGAGACACTCACCAAACAGCTCGCGGTGTAACGTATGTAATGGATACAGTGGGTATGTAAAGTGCTTAGCACCAGTAGTGGTTGTGGACGCAGCTCTTGGGAGCAGCACTGTGATGGCAAAACAACGCATTTCCCTAGGACAGAAACCTGGAATCAGGAGCTTGGGTTTAGGTATCGAACTTGGGTTCGATATGGTGATATGGGGCACTGGCGTCTTAACCGCTAGGCCAAACGCCCACCCCAAGATGTTGTTTTGAGGTTTGGAGCTATTGTCATCCAGTAACCTTCCACATCTGGGTCAAACGGCTTGCATTCAACAAAATCCGATGGTGGGCGTTTGATGTGACGACAGGTACTATCTCGACAACTGTGCCTCCCTGCCCTGCTTTCCTCTACCTGAGCGAGGGCTTTGGCAGCAGCCATGCCCTCATAGCACCACGCCGGGGGTCTGTAACTGGGGCCTGATGATGTATGCCACCCCAGACAGGGACAGTCTGCAGTGGAGGAATCCATAGCCTGTCTGGAGCCATCCAGGAATCTTTTGACACTTGGTCTAGAGGGAATTGTCAAAAACGAGATGTCTACACAGCAGAGTTCCTGTCTTTTCAAAGCAACTTGAACCTCTGCCAGACCCCCAGACAGATTCGTATCCCCAAGGGAAGCACGCGGCACACGAGGGGATATTTCTTAGCAAGTATTGATGCGCCAGAGAAGGGGCGTTAAATTATTGACTTGACATCCCCTAATACTCTGTTTTTAGTTGCTGATTTGAAGGATTATCTGTTTACAATTGAATTCTGCTGTTGGACTGCGGCGATGGCTGGGCCGGGCTGGACTTATTTAGGAACGGGAAATTAATAACCCTTTAGGGGCACAGATGGGGCCCAAGGAGCCAATGAGCACTCTGTGCGTGGGAAGCCACAGTCACGGCTGAGGGTTGGACCGCCGTCGTCTGCAGAGGTTCGTGTGTTTTGACTCGTGTTGGGACGGGGCCGACTCTCTGCCCCTCCCGTGGCAGGCACACAGTGAGCCGGAAGTGCCTCTGTACACTCCCTGGACCCGACACACGCAGCAGCGGGCAGTTCCCGAGTGGGTAGCTCTAGCCATCTTGGGTGAATCGTATGCAGGTTAGCGCACCGGGGCGGCGTGGCCACCTCTGACCCTGTTGCTGCGAACTCTTTGGCCCTGGCCACGGAGACGAGCTCTCTGCTGACCAAGTGTCGGCCTCCCCCTGGCTGGGGGGCTCTGATGGCTGCTTCAGAGCCATGTGATACCCGGCCAGGTGCCTGTGCCCTGGACCCCAGAGTCCAGACTCCAAAACCTGCCTCTCACTAGGCCGCCCTCTGCCCCGCCCTGTCTCTCTCAGCCTTAATTCCTTTTCATTTCCTGTTTCTGGGCCAGTCCTGTCTCTCCCTCATCCCAGCCCCCCCAGTCCTTTCAGGTCCCCTGCCCTGGCTCCTACTTCCTTCTGGCTCACTCTGGCCCCCAGCCGTCTCTGCCCACAGCGCCCTCACTCCCCACTGCTGCCACCTTCTCCACGCAGTGCCGAGTCACTGCACAGCGTCACCCAGGCCTGGCCTTGGGACGTGAGGGCTGAGGCACCGTGCCAAGGCAGGGGCCCCTCTGCTCCCAACGTCATCAGCACTAACCCAGCCCCATCACTCTCGGAGGCACAGCCTGTAGCCAGTGCCACGTGCCAGGCCCTTGGGCCTCCCTGCAACAGCCTGTGGTCCTGCGTGACCTTGGGAAATGCACACGCCGTCCGCGTGACGGCCAGCAGCAGGCTTGGGTAACTGGCTCTCAGAGGCCAGAGAGGGCCAGGCTGGAGTCTGAAGGCCGGCGCCCTCCCAGACCGCAGCCTCAGCCAGAGGCGGCGACTGTTTATCGCATGCAGCCAGCGTGACACGAGAAGGAGATAAAGTGAGGAGCTCTTTCATTCCAGGGTTTGTCTGCTCTCGTTCACAAGCAAACACGGGCCCGTCCTATCTGGCGGCTGACGTGCTTTTGCCTCGCCGTGTTTCTTGGAGCAGCACGCTGCCACTTGTGGGTCACCAGCCACGGGTCCCCACCTCCCTGCTGCAGGAGGACTGTGGCCAGCCCAGGTGGAGTTCTCCCACCCTTGCCTCCCAGTGCCCTGGGCTGGCTGGGTGCTCTATGATGCACCCTCCCCAGGAATGTGGCCCTCAGCCTAGCAGTCCCCTGCCCCGAGGGCTCCTTTGATGGAGAGGTTCTGCCTCCAGCCTCGGGAGCTTTAGCTGCTGTTTTCTTACCTGTCCGGGGGAGACTGCTGTCCTGTAGCCTGCTTGCTTCGGTCGGCGACTCAGGCACCACTGGGCATCCACAGTGCACGTACCCAGGGGCCTCACAGAACTCTCACTGTGCCCTCTGCCCTCAATAAGCGGCTGCTGTTTTCCTCTAACCTTGCATTCTGACGTTGGTTTGCGTTGACTTCCTCCTCCTCCTCCTCCGTTGAACCCATCGCCCTGGCCTCTGCTTCCTCAAAGGTTCCTACACTTGGGGTTTGCACTGCCTCTCGCCTGGTGTACGCTTGCCTTTTGAGTCGAGCCAGGGTTTGATCCGGCACCACTGCCCTTCCTGTAGCTGGGATGGCTGTGGTCAGATATTCCACCGTGAACCTGACGCCCGCCATCCCCACCGGCCCCTGGGCTTCTGTACTCAGTGCCACCTGGCTGCTCCTGCTCCTGCTTTTCCTGTTCATTCACAGCAAATGACATTTTATTTTCTGTTGTTAAACCGAGAGACCAGCTCTCTTGCAGGACATTTAAGAAAGTTAAAAAAAAAAAAAAAAAAAAAGCATGAACTGACACATCCTGCACGCATTTACAGGGTGCAACATGACATTTCGGTACATGTCCGCGGCATAAGGACTGGATGAGGCTGGTCTGCGTAGACGCCGCCTCAAACACGAGCCACCCCTAAGCATTAGGAGCGCAGAATCCCACAGGCTGGCTCCTCTGAGTCACGTGAGGAATCACCATCGCGCACCGTCGCCCTCCCACGGGTGTTTCTGTAGCACCTGCCCCGCGCAGGCAGGACGGCGTTCTGGGGCGTGCATGGCTGCCCCTCGCCGACCCGCCCACTGTGTTCCGGCGGAAGTGCGCCCACTGTGTTCCGGCGGAAGTGCCGTGTCATCTTGGCGCGTTTCAGTCTCGTTTCACAAATGCCAGAGCCAGACCCAGAGAGTTGAGAACCTGCCCGCCGTCTCACGGCCAGTAAGTGAAGTCGGGTCTCCCCACGGGGCCACACCACCGCATCGCACTGCAGGATCCGTGTTTCTGGACCCCAAGTAAGGCCGTAGTCATCAGTCACACTCCAAGGATGGCGGCCGGTGCATTGAGCGCCACACCTGTGTCTTTGCCGTGAAGGATGGCAGGGGAGGCAGGGTCTGGATGGGTGGAGCACTGGGACCCCAGCCCAGCAGTGAGGGCTTCAGCCAGCCTCCCAGGGTGCAGCGGACAGAGAGTGTGAGGTCTTTTAGGGATGGGGGGTAACCCCGCAGGGCTGCAGAAGCTGCTCCAGGAGCCCCCCGGAAGCCAGAGGAGGCCTTTGCACTGTTTCATTATTTGCAGGGTGATAACATTGTAGAGCTGTGGGAGGGAAGAGGGGCCCCAGCAGAGGCAGGTGCTTGGCACCCGGCCCCAGCACTGGTGTCTGCATCCCCAGGGCTCCACCGACAGAGCAAATGCAGCCCCAGGTGGGGCAGGTCGGGCCAGGGCCCAAGGTCAGGCACAGCTAGTTCCCTGGCCAGCCCGTCTGCAAAGCCCTGCGTCCAGACCGCTCTTCTCTCTGTTTATTTACCCCAGACTGGGATTAGAGGGAACATTTACATGAACTTTTGAAAACAAATATTCCAGTTGTGTCTCCTCCTGCTCGCTCCCCACCTCGGCTCAGGCGTCTGCGGCAAGAAAAAGAGAGAGAGAGAGAAAAAAAAGAAAACCTGTTTGGTCAGTGAGAACCGACTGGTTAATACATAAGCAAATGTCACCGAGGAGCAGGCACAACTGGAAAAAAAAACCTACAGGCGTCATCCGTGGGCAGCCTTCTCCAGAGGTCGTGCACGGTGCAGGGCGTGCTCCTTGAGCCTTCCACTCTGGTGGAAGACCCGGATGGAGTCCTCGGCTCCTGGCATTAGCCTGGTCTTGCCCAGCCCTGGCTGTTGCAGGCATTTCGGGAGTGGAAAGGGATTGAACAGTGCAGACGAATATGCGTCTTTAAGATTTACTTATTTGGGGGGCCAGTGCTGTGGCGTAGCAGGTGAAGCTGTCACCTGCAGCGCCGGCATCCCGTGTAGGCTCCAGTTCTAGTCCCAGCTGCTCCTTTTCCAATCCAGCTCTCTGCTATGGCCTGGGAAAGCAGTAGAAGATGGCCCAAGTCCTTGGGCCCCTGCACCCACATGGGAGACCCGGAAGAAGCTCCTGGCTTCAGCTACGGCAGTTGCAGCCATTTGGGGAGTGAAGCAGCAGATGAAAGACCTCTCTCTCTCTCTCTCTCTCTCTCTCTCTCTTTCTGGCCCTGTCTCTCTGTTACTCTGCCTTTCAAATTAAAATGAATCTTTTCTTTTAAAGATTTATTTATATTTATTTGAAAGGCAGAGTAACTGTGTTGAGGGGCGGGGAGAGAGGGAGAGGGATCTTCCATCTTCCATGGGCTGGTTCATCCCTTTCCACTCCTGAAATGCCTGCAACAGCCAGGGCTGGGCAAGACCAGGCTAATGCCGGGAGCCGAGGACTCCATCCGGGTCTTCCACCAGAGTGGAAGCATCCCAAGCCCTTGGGCCATCACCCATCACCGTCCTACACAGGTGAGCAGGAAGCTGGAGCCAGCATTCCAGCGTGGCGTGCGGCTGTCCCAAGAGGCAGCCTAGCCCTCCGCACCCCGGCACCCACCACAAGATCACGTATCTTAATCCCAAACACTCTCCCCCCCAGTAGCGGGCAGGCAGGGTAGCAAAACTAGACAAGGAGACTTCCAGACCATCCACCTGTGGTGCCAGCTCCACTGCCTCCCCTCCCCCACTCCCCTGCAGCTTCCAGGGAGAAGTGGCCAATCCAGAGATGTGCTCCTTCTTTCTCTCCTCTTCTCCCTCGAGGAAAGCCAGACTCCACATCTTCCTGTCCTGCTCCACGTGCGGAAGCACCCGGAGCTGCTCCCCACCCGTGGCAGAGTGGCAGCCTCGGTCCCCGGTGCCTCACCAGGAACATGACGGGCCGTTAATCCAGGTGAACAGTCTTGGGCAGTGTCTGTCCCTGAGACGCTGCGCGTCACGTCCTCTCCCCGGTGTGAAAAGGCGTCTGTTTGTTTCTTTACGTCTTCTTTTAATTGCCACGAGCTGGACTTGTAAATATCCCAAGTGGCTGAGTCATGGCTCGTCTAGTAAACCGACCGAAGGAAACGGACATGGTCCGTCCACTCTCTCAGCGCTGGCATCCCAGGCCTGCCTGCCCCCAGAAGGGACTCTGGAGACGGGGAGGGAACGTGGTGCCAGCGGTAGTGGCGTGGGAGCTGAGAGAGGTGCGCAGGTGACGGGCGCCAGGTGTTTCGTGCTAGGGTCTGGGCAGAGAGCTCTCCTTGTCTAAGAAGTTGGCAGCTTCCCAGGAGCTCCGAGCCTTTCCGTGTTCTGAATGCCGCCTCCCCCCCCCCCCCGGGACGGACACTTGGAGGCCCCGAGGTTGGAGACAGTTCTGAGGCCGGAGCTCCCTCTCACTCCAGGCCGCGTGGGAGGCGCGGTGCTGGGGGAATGGCCGCCCGCGTCCGCTGGCCTGGGAGCAGCAAACCCTCTGTGGTTGTGCGTGCTGCTGCTGTTCTCAATGCCGCCTCCTCCCTTAGCGTTGCTCTCCGAAATACGTGCAGAACCTGGGGTGGCGGAGGGGGGGGGGGGCTGGGAGCAGGTGAAGGTACGGACAAAGCCAGGCTGCCCGCGCGTGAGTGTGGTTCAGGCTGGGCGCTGGCTCCATCCCAGTGCGCTCGTGTCTACTTTCGCGTTTGTTTAAAATTTTCCACCATCCAAAGTTAAGGTAGGAGGAGAGAAAGAGGGACTAAAACGAGCTCTTCGGCCCGCAGGACTAGGGCGCTCTCCCTCAACAGAGAAGGACTCCACTGAGGAGGGGGCGGGAGCCGTGCTCACGTTTCCAGAAAGCCAGAGAAAGGAGGCGTGCCGATGGATGCCTCCTGTGGGACCCAGGGCGACCCAGAGGCCGCAGCTGGCCTTGGCTCCTCACGCCCGCCGCCCGCCACCTTCCTCCGTGCACCCTCGGCTCACGCCGGCTTCCCCAGGCCCACAGCGGAGCTCCTCGCGGGGTAGGGGTCGGGGAACGGGGGACCCCCGCGTGCTCTGAAAGCACTGGCGATGTAGAAGCTTGGTTTGCATCTGCTCTGTGATAAAAGGCATCACGTGTGTGCTAACCGTAATTCCAGCAGACCCGTCCGCCCTCCCACGCGTACCGCGCCACTCAGGGGCGCTGAGCCCGGAGCGTCGCCCTGTCGTCCCCGGGCCTCTGCAGAGCCTGCCGCCGGGTGTCGGCCACCTTTGAATTTGTCACCAATTGGCCTCCCTGACAGATTTTTCTCAGCTTCTGCTTCCCTGCTAACGGCCACTCTGTCCTTACTGTCCCTTCCAAATATTGAATGTAGGGAGGCGCCTAAAAGTTCGTGGAAAATTCACATAACCTTTTTATGAATGAAAGATTCATTCATTTATTTGAAAGGCAGAGTTACAGGGAGAGAGAGAGAGAGATCTTGGATCCACTGGTACACTCCCCAGATGGCTACAACCCTGTCAAGGCTGGGCCTAGCCAAATCCTGGAGCCAGGAGCTCCATCCGGGTCTCCCATGTGTGTGGTGGGGGCCCAAGACCTTGAGCCATCTACTGCTTTCCCAGGCCGTTAGCTGGATCGCAGCCAGGACTTGAACCAGCACTCGTGTGGGATGCTAGCGTCGCAGGCAGCGGCTTGACCTGCTGCACCACAGCGCTGGCCCCCACTTAGTCTTTCAGTTCTATTCGTCCAAGAACTTCCTGAAGCCCCCTCCTAGCCTAGGCACCCCCGCCTCTGGGTGGTCTGGTTTGCAGGATTTCAGCTTCGTGGTGGGGTCCAAGCACCCCCACAGGAGTGTTTCACTCTTCCCTTTCAGCAGTGTTGCGTAGACCGCGCGAGTTAGTGAAGCTTTTCTTATAGAGTCAGCCCTGTATGAGCCGATTGTGCCCAACTCCGGGCTGCTCCTAACGTTCTGAGTCCATCTGAGGTAGGTCTGGGCGGAGCCATGATGTGTGTGAAATGCATTCTCGACTTAGGATAGTTCCCACTGACGATGGCTTTTTGAGAGTATACGTAAGATATATATAAGATAATCGTATGAGGGGGCTTCAGAACTTTTGAAAAGTAGAATTATAGACAAGTTTAATTTGGTACAAAGATATTTTGAAATCCATGCATACTAAGGGCTTTTCAAAAACTTTACCAAAAAATGTGTATTATGAACAAACTATGCATGGATTTAAAAACATTTTTTTTTGCACCAGGACAGACATTTGGCACAGCTGTTACGAGACCTTGTGGGACACCGCCAGCCTCTGTTGCCGTAACTGGGTTCAAATCCCGGCTCTGCTTCCAGCCACAGCTTCCTGCTGCACACCCTGGGAGGCCAGGTGGTGTCTCGGTTACTTGAGTCCCTGCCTCCACCGTCACGGCAGATCTGGATGGGGCTCTGCCTCTCCGGGCTTTGGCATTTGGGGAGTGAACCAGCAGATTGGGGGAAAAAAAAAAAATCTGTCTCTTTCTGTCTTTCAAATACGTCCATAAAATTTTTTTTCCAAAGCTTTTACTGTCCATAAAAATTTTTTAAATATTTTTGCACCAAAATGAACTCCTCTTTAATCCCACTGCATGAGCTTTCCGAAGCGCCCTCACAGAGGGGCAGAGAGCATGGCTAAGGGGTCAGGAAAGCCGCCCTGAGGAGGGGACGCTGGTGTTCCGTCTCAGGTGGAAGGGACAGCACATGTGACAGCCAGGAGTGGCTGGAGCCCGGGCGCTGCGGCCGGAAGTGCAGGAGGCCTGGATGGCTGGCGTCAGGCGCAGGGTGTGGCTGCAGGGGCTGCAGGCCCCACTGAGCCACCCTGGGGTCTGGGTCTCAGTTTGGGCCAAGGGAGGGCTCTAAGCCAGGAGGCAGCCCGACCTGACTTAAATTCCGAAGCAGCGGCCCCACGCCTGCCGCGGTCCCAGCCCGAGAGCGGAGCTGCTGGTGCCGCGAGGCTCTGTGCGCGTAAACCGAAACCAGATGGGTGTTCTTCTGCTTCCCAGGCAATTGTTGGGCGCGATCCCTCGCTCTGCCGCTCCCACACCCAGCGTGATTGGAAAATTCGGGGTCACTGCTGCCCAGAGCCCTCGCTGCGCGGGGAGCTTTCCAGCCTCGGGAACAACCCCCGTTCCTTACACGCCTCTCTCATCATCATCATCGCTGCTCGCTGCCTCAGACGCTCAGTGCCCCCACCCGCTCTGTCTGCCTTCCCCACCCCCAGGATGTCGGCACAACCCAGCCCAGTGGGGGGCAGATTTGTTCTCAGACACCACACGCGTGGCAGAACTGCCAAGGAGCGGTGGGATTCGTGGTCAGGTGGATCGGGGGGGTGGGGGGGAGCTGCAGGCGCTTTGGAGGCAGGAAGGGGTGGGCTTGTTCTGGTTCTGGCGAGAAGGTGGGCTGAGATCACACACGCACACCCACGCCCTCGCTGCAAGCGTCTCAAATGCTGGCTGAAGTGCTCACGGCCCCACCCACAAACGCTGATGCAGGGCTGTGTCCATCAGGAAGCAAGGACAGCCCCTGATGAAGAGCGCTGAAAACCAGAACCCAGAGTGGATGAGGCCATGCTGGGGCCGGGCGGACGTCCAGACGAGGCACGGGCGTTGCAGGCCACGGCGCTGGGTCCCCCTGCCGCCTCTCGCTCCCCCAACCACCCTTTAACAATGTAACAGCCATCCTGAGCTCGAGGCTTGTACAGAAACCCACCATGGCCAGGTTTGGTCCGTGGACCGCAGTCTGCACACCTGTGATGCAGCCGAGGCGCCTGTCACCTGCCAGGGAGGGGAGCAGACCTAAGACCCCGAGCAGGGAGAGACCCTCACGCCACCAGATCATCAGCGAAGGAGGCCGCAGCACAGACAGCACCAGGCAGCCTGCCGGGTTGTTGTCTAGACCTTTCTGGGTGCTCACAATCTTGGGGACACTGTGTTCACGTTTCGGGTTTAAGATGGGCCTCATCTCCCCAGCACCTAGAGGAGATGAGGACGGGATGTAGGAAGTCTGTGAGCTTAAGCGGAAAAGCCAGTTGCACTGTTGTTTTCATTAACATTTAGCATTTTCTTCCATTACAACCCACCGTGGTGTTGGCAGTGCCCATTGCTTTGTCACTAGCAGAAATCAGATATTTCCGTAGCAAAATAGAGGATGGGACGTACCTATGGGTAGAGAAGCATACTTCTGTGTATTTGGAAATTCAAGAAGGTCAGAGAGATTGTTGTTGGAATTTTTTTTTTTAAGTATTTAGAAGTTAGAAACTGGCAGTGAAATTATCGCATATCAAAATTTGTAGGCTTAGGGGCATTTTTAAAGAGTAGAAAATGAGTTAGTTTTCAAGGAAATTGGAGGAGGGACAACAAAGCGAGTTGTAAGAACATCTTTGGAGTTAATAAAAATAAAAGCCAAAATTTGTAAAACAACAGCTGCCAGGGACGATCCACAGGGCTGAAACTCGTTCTTGGAAAAGATGAATTGGTAGAAAAGGAGGACGCACGCTTGTGGCGAGGGTGCTGAAGAACAGACGTACTGCAAATGCAGAGACACGAATGGGGCATTTAAGTTGTAGGAGGACCCGGTGGGCAGTACGCCCGTCATCTTGAGAAAGCTGGCTCTTTCTAGAACCATGTAACTTAACCAGACCAACTCGAGGAAAAGGGAAAACAGGACTCCCAACAGGAGACATGGACCCCGGCGTGCCGCCAGGAGCCCGAGCAGCCAGTCATTCCTCCATTCATTCGACAAACTCTGAGTCTCCACTCCGGGCGTTGTTGGTAGATGCTGGCAGCAGAGCAGTGAAAACCCCATCCTGCGCCTTTCCTGTGATGGAAGAAGGGTTCTTTGATTGTCTCAGTCCAGTGTGACAGCCACTGGCCAGCCCTGACTGTTGGGCTTGTGCAGTGCGGTTAGTGCAACTGAGAAACTGAAGTTTTGACTTTATTTTTTTTAAATTATTTATTTAAAAGGCAGACTGACAGATCTTCTGTCCTCTGGTTCACTCCCCAAATGCCTAAAGCAGCCAGGGGCTGGGCCACGCCAAAGCCAGGACCTAGGAGCTCCATCGGGGTCTCCCACATGGGTGGCAGAAACGCAGATACGGGGACCCTCATCTGCTGCCTCCCAGGTCCATTTGCAGGACGCTGGATTGGAAGCAGAGGAGGGACTCAATCCCAAGCACTCCGGTACGAGAGGTGGACTAACCCTCCTGTGCCACAGCACCCACCCCAGCTTTGGTAACTTGGTTTCTATGGCAACACTGGGGCAGTGAGCATGGAAGGCGGTGAGCTCCTTGCACAAGTGCCGTGTGCTCTTGGGCCCACTTCATCAGTGCCACGCAAGGGAGCTGGCAATCGTAAGAGCCAGACACGTGGCCCCGTGCAGGAGGGCAGAGGCTGCACCTTGTGTTCCAGGAAACACTAATACAAAAACCACAGATAAGAAGCAACGGCCCTCTGGTGTGTGTGTGGTGGGGGGGATACATCTCCAGGTGGGGGCTCGAGGATCCTGGGCTCGGGAGGCCAGGGTGAAGCCACGTGGAGAGTGGATTCCGGAAGCAGCACCTCTCTGCTTCCTCGACGCTCCATCAGGGCGCGATCCGACTGGGCAGTGGGAGTGGCCGTCTTCAGCAGCTCCTGCTCTCATACGGAATGGGAGGCCCCCCCCCCCAGCCTCGGATCAGGAGGAGCCCTACCTGAGCCCCCTGAGGTCAGCTTTCCCCGGAGCCACCCTTGGGCTCGGAGGGTGCACCTCCCACCAACGGTGTGATGCTTTCTGGCACGAGTCATCGAAAGAGGACTTCTCCTGCTTCTGTTTTGCAGGGATGATCATGGTGATCCTGCTGCTGTTTGTGGCGATAGTGGTCGTGGCAGTCTGGCCGACCAAGTGATGGCAAGAAAGGGACCCCGGGCTGTGACCCCAGGACGACGCAGAAAACCCAGCACCTTGCGGTACCCAGACCCCGCTCTCAATAAACCCCCGAGGCTCTGACTCTTGGTGTCGCCTGCGTTCTTAGTGGTTCCGGGAAGCTCCCCAGTGCACTGGTCCCGGGGTGGGGTTTTCGGTTTTGACCTTGGTCATTCTGGTGTTAGCCAAGTGCTCACTGCCCCCTGGCCGCCTGTGGGTTGCAGCCACCACACAGTGCGCCGGACACCCTGAGAGGAACTCAGTTACTGCGGGAGCTGTCGCCTTGATGTCTGTGTAGGAAAAAGCACTCAAGCTGCTTATGTCAGGGAGGGGCAGGAGTGGGGGCGCATCACCCCGTGGGGCCCTGTGTGCTGGCCAGGAGTGCCCATTGCCCCTGCTCAGAAACACTTCCGGGGACTCATGGGAGCAGCCGCCAGCCCCGGACATGCATTCTTTTTCATCCCCTTGGTGACAGCGAACCCCCATTTTTCAAGGTTGAAACATCTGAGCGAGAATCAAACCTGTTGAGTAAGTTGGGTGGGAAGCAGGGAAGTACTGATGAGGCCGAAGGGCGGTGATGAAGCTGTGGGACTCCTGCACTGGCTCTGATGCTGAGTGTGCGTGCACGTGTGTGTGTGCATGTGTGTGTGTGCATGTCTCAGAAGGAGCAGGTGCAGGAGGCAGGCCTGGGAAGCACACTAGGCCCACGGACAGGTGAGTTCTGAGCTAGAAGGGGACGGCGGGCCCAGCGTCCTTGCCTCATGGCACAGGGAAAGAGGAGCAGGGTTGGTGACAGGGCAGCTGCAGAGCCCAGGGTTCCACCGAGAGGGGAACGGGCGGTGGTGGGGCTGCCAGGGAGGAGCCTCCCAGGGCTCTCCCCGTGAGGACGTGCCCTGAAACGCCCTCTGGACAGGGGCTCGCCCCCGGGGAGAGCTCACTCTGGAGCCTCTGCCGGTGGGGTGGCCGCCGTAGTCTCTGGCAGAGGAGGGGGCCTCTGGAAGCTGTCGGGCCGGCAGAGAGCCCAGGAGCAAGCCCCTCACCCTGCTCACAGCTCATTGGCTGGGAACCACCCACCTGGCCTGGCTCAGGAAGTGGCCGGAAGGCAGGGCGCCCGGAATATGGATGAGCCGCCCAGTGACGACCACGCCGTGAGCTCACGGCGCTGGGCCGCAGGCAGCTGACCTTTCTGTGCCTCTGCTTCCTCACGTAGAACACGGGGAGATCCCCTCCCTACCTCCTAGGGCTGCGGGGGGGCCGAGAGGGTCCTGCCTACAAACAGCGGGTGGAACGGGGAGCGAGCCCAGATGTGGGCCCGGACCTCAGGGGCTGCGACACGCACAGACCAAGGTGAGGCCTCGGAAGCCACTTGGAGCCAGGAGGTGGCAAAGGACCCAGCAGGCGAGCATGGGGCTGAGGCGTGCCGTCCGAGCGCCGTCGGGCGGGGGGAACGAGAGCAAACGGGGAGGCAGGCTCATTTCAGGGGCGTGCGTTCCCAGAGCAGAGGTCTGGGCTTTGCAGGGTTCGCGCCCCGGGATGCATTTCCTTGTCGGGGCACGGTGGTTGCTAACGGATCACCCGACGGAGGACCAAGAATCTGCAGAGCCACGTCTCCCAGCCTTGTGCTGAAACCCCAAATCTATACAAACAGTCTCCTTGGAGCCCCCCACCCCGGGGCTCTGGGCGGGCAGCACTAGTGCTCTGTTTGACTTTCTCACCTCCTCTTGACTCGCTCAGCACGGAGCCCCGGCAACTCATGGGGCGTCTTTGAAGCAGAGCCACAGAGTCCTGGCTCGGTGACACTGGGAGGCCGGTGCCTGCACACTGCAGCTTCTGTTCTTCGGGCTGAATGGGCTCTGGGCCCGGACCCAGCATCATTCGCTGTGTGACCCCGGACTGGTAACGTCACCTCTCTGGACCCCTGGGCAAGGCAGAGCAAAGAGAAAGCTGCCCAGGGAAGGTCAGCGTGCACCTGCTGTGCAGGCCACAGCGGGGAGAGCCCCAAATCCCCTTAGTCTTCCTCTCGGGGGACCCCCGTCCCAAGCAGATAGAAAGCTGGCAAGGAATGGCCAGGTGCCTGGGAAACCTGTTGCCTTCAACCCATCCTGGAGCGCTGTGGCTGACGGGAAGGCGGGGCTTTCCAGCTTGGCTGCACGGCTGGCTACCTCCGGCAGCCATGCTGGAGGTGGCTGGGTGAGCCTGACCCTGTCGCCCTAAGCGTGACAAAGAGGCGAGATGGGGCCCTCAGTGCCCGTCATCTCAGGGGCTTTCTCAGCGAAAAGAAACGTAACTAAAATAACAGCAATAAGCAGTATTTACCGGCAGCGATTATTGATTATAAGCATCGCAAGTCTGCAGACCGTATAAAGGAACCCAGATACCTGGGTACAACTGGGGCTCTCGGGCCACGGAAACGTCGTTATGATTCAGCACCGTCATGAAACCGTGGCCGGGATGGCGACCTGCCCCTCGCCCCCCACGCGCGGCCCCCAGCCCACCTGGGACCCTGCTTTCTCCCCACAGGGTGCTGATGACATCACAGACAAGCGCCACTGCTGGCCCCATGGGACACGGCCGGTTTTGGGGGGGGGGGTCCTTTTCCAGCTCCTTCACGTCCAGGACACTGGAAGCCATGTGCAGACTGAAGACATCTCTTGGATCCTCTAACCAGCCCTGCTGAAGCTGTGTGTGTGGGGCGGGGGTCGGTATTTTAAGGAGCGAGCCCAGACCCACCCTTTCTCTGTCTGCCCTGCCCAGTTTCCCAAATGCCCTCCCGTGGATGCACCCACAGCAAAAGGCACTGACCTGTTTCCAGAAATGACTCTGCCCTGCCGAGCGTCCTGTCTGACATGGCGAGGGGTTCACACACCCCTGCGCCGTTTCTCATTGGCTCTGGTCTACCCCTCCCTGCCCTGTTTCTCTGGGAGTATGTCTGTATCTGGGGCGCCTGTTCAACAAAATCTGAGCCCCCCAGGGTGTGTCGGCCACGAATGGGTACCTTATGCCCGGGTGCTGGCTCAGGGAGGCCAGGCAGCCCCCGCGAAGCTGTCACCCAGCAGGGGTCTAGGCCTTTGCTCTGTGCTGGCCCCGGGGGTCCTTGACGAGAATCACTCGGCTTCCGGCACCTCTCCAGTGGGCTTCCCCCAGCGCGTTTCTCCCGTTGTTTGAGCTCGGCGGATGCCAACGCCTTCTCTCCCCCAGAAGGCCCCGGCTGGCAGCGTGGCTGCTTATTCTGTGTTTCCCTGGGCTTGGCCGTGGCCACGTCCCACGGGGATGGACTGAGATGCGGACAGAGGAAAGCTACGTCACGAACACCCTCGAGAACTGGGCCTTTGACCTAAAACAACCAAAGTGGAGACTCAGACTGCCAAGCGCTCGCGGAAGGCTCAGCCGCAGTCCCCGAGCAGCCCGCGGGTCCTGCACGTGGGATAGCCAGCCCTGGGGAGCCCTGGAGATGGCAGCTGAAGCTGGCCTGCTTCGCAGCCCGGACAGGCCCTGGCATCACCGCTCGAGACCCGGACACCTGCAGGCCACACATGTGTCTTCCTGCACCTGAGCGCTAGATCCTGGCCACCGAAGGGCTTCCCTGGCCTCCAAAGAGGGCCGCAGGGCCCATGGCAGAGACTTGTCCCTGAAACCCGGTGATGCAGGAGCTACAGCGTCCTGGCGACAATCAGCTCTACTCCACGCAGCAATGCAACTCCTAGAGCCTGAACCACTTCCTAAATCGTGGGCTCGGGGAACCTCTCAGACACCCAGACTCTGCGCCACACGCTCGGAGCCGTGAGCAGAGGCGAGATCGCGAATGTCGCTGGGCCCGGTGTGTGCACACACGGTTGCGAGAGACAGGAACTGCTTCGTGTCAGCGGCGCGAGCCACTTGCATGTTCCAAGTCAAAATGGGGATGGTCGCGCCGTCCTCCACCCTGCTGGTACATGGGGTGTCTGGGGGTAGGGGGTCTCTTTATCCTGGAGCCCAGAGAGGGGCCGCTTTCTTGGGGACTAAAGCACAGATTGTCCCAGTTGAGAGCCTTTAGCTCAAAACGGCGTTCACAGATGGCGAGCGAAGCTGCCTTCCCCCGTAGTTGGGGCTCCGTCCTGCGGGCCCCTCCCCGCTACCCGCAGTAAAGACAGGGAGGCAGGCCAGTGTACAAGAGTTTATTTAATGATATCTGAATTTAGTTCTATCACGTGGGGTCCACGTTACAAGTTCCATCTGGGTCCATTACAGCTCTAACAGAAAACCTTAGAAAACACAATTCCACGACTTTCTCCATGTCATTAAATATATTCATATATAATAACCATAATATATTAGTATGCATTGGAAAGGAACGCTGACCCAAACAATATGTCATGGTCACAACTAAACATTTACAATTCTGAGTGAACAGAAATGCGAAACACGGGAGGGAGTGGTGGGAGGTCTGGGGGCAGGGAGGCCCAGTGACGCGCGGAGTGGGACACATGTGACTACCCCTCGGGAGTGCCTGTCCGTGAGCTGTGGCCCCCGTCGGTGAGTCTCGTGCGCCTGGGTTTCGAGGGTGGCTTCCATCGGGTATGGAGACCCTACATCGGGTTCCCAGTCCCTCAGGGTCTCCGTCCACCCCGGGCTATACCCATTTCCTGCGTGCAACTGCGGAGGCAGGGTTCCCGGAGGTCACTGAGGGCCTTGGCCCTAGGCCTGCCTCCCCCGCGTCCCTCCGGCCTCACTGCGTGTCAGCGAGGCAGGCACTCGGCTCTCGGGGACACCAGGGCGCCCAGCCGGGGGAGAAAGGCCAACTGGCGAATCTGTTTAACAACAACAAAAAGACTAACCTGGTATGTTTTTTCTTCTTCAAACACCTACATGTCACAACTCTGGTTAATACACTCTTCAAAACTCAAATCAAAACCTAGTTCCGTTGTACACCCCTTCCTAACTGTACAAACTGCACCGCCTCCGTTCCTGGTTCCGTCTCCTCCCTGGGTGAGGGCAGGGGCGGGACCGGAGGAGCCGTGGGGTCTGGCAGGGGCCCTCCCATGGTGGCTTCTTCCCCGCCCTGGCACACGACCGGGGGTCCAGGCCATGACCAGGAGGGTGAGGCGGGAGGCAGGCTGGGTTTGCAGGAAGATGTCCACTGCCGAGCGTGGGGGGAGGGGTCCTCAGAGACCACCAGTGCACACCCCTCACAGGGCAGCGTGAGGCTCAGACCCCAGGAAGGATGTGGCAGGGCTGCCACACCCCTCTGCACAGGTGGGGAAGCCACCGGGCAGCATCACGGCCACCCCTCCCCCCAGGGCAGCCTGCGGCCTCTCTGCCAGTCCCTCCTGGACTCCCTCTGGCCCCCACCATTCTAGGGCCTCTGGGGAGCAGTGAGACCTCTTTCCAGGAACCTGGCCTCTCTCTTGCAGGTCCCCTCCCTGCTTCGCCCACCATTCTTGGCGTCGTCACCCTGAAGTGGCAGTAGCAGTGGCCAGGGCAGAGTGCAGCCCGGGGCAGCATGGCCGCTGGACACGTGGACTCCAGTGTCTGCACCGGAGAAGGTGGGAGAGGATCCCCGGCCCCCAGGGCTGTCACGAGGACACGTCGGGAGCAGGTGGGTAAAGTGCCTGGCACACAGCAGGGGCTCAGTAAGTGGCAGCCGTGACATGGGCGGGAAGGCGGGGGAGGGGCACTGGGGAGCCAGAAAGAGAGGCCGAGCTCCGCGCCTGGGGAGACCCTTGCGAGCAGCCAAACACTGGCAGGGAAAATGAAACCGGTGCCCTGCCTGACAGGGAAGCCAGGCCTGGCATTCGGCATCAGCTTCGGGAACACGGGAGCGGCCGGAGTCGGGCACGCCGGCCCCGGGGGATGGGGTCTGCACCCAGCTCTGGGAGGCACAGGCCAGCACTGCGCAGGGCCCCGGAGCCAGAGACGATGGCCCAGGAGCTGCCCAGGCTGCGGTGCATCAGCTCCAAGGGCCAGGGGCCCGCCGAGGGAGGGCAGCAAGAGGAAGTGGTCATGGCTGCCGTGGCGGCCAGGAAGCTGGCCGTGCCCCCCCCCCCCCCCCCCCGTCCCCGCCTGCCAGCGAACCCTCAGCCCCCAGCCAGGCCCTTGCCAGCTGTTGACACTGCTCGGGGGCCCCTGCGGGGGCTGATGTCATTGCACAAACAGTGTCACTGCCCCCTCCCCTGGAAGCGTGTCATAGAAGGGGCTGCTTCCAAGTTTCCAGAAAGGAAACGCTCTGGGAGGTTTTGCCTGCGCAGTGCCTCATCCAACAGGCGGCTGCGGCACGAGGCCGTGACCACCCGGCTTGGGCTCCTCAGGGGTGTCCTTGGGCCCAGTGCCCGCCTCCTGGGTGAGCCAGACCCCAGGCACCACCAGAGCCTCCTTTCCTCTGCCCATGGGAGATGAACCCCCCACCCAGACCCTGGGACCCCACCCCAGAGGACCAAGCCAGCAGGTGCCAGCGGAGACCAGAGGCCACATGGGGGGAGGGGGGGTGTGCCCAGGTCGCCGCAGCCCTGTGTCCAGCCGGGATTCCTCGAGAGAGAAAGGCGGGGCATTGGTGCTGGGCTCGCTTAGCGCCCCCACCAGAATTCACAGCTCTCCTCCCCGGCTCCTGCTCCGTGACCCATCAGCGACCTGCATCTTCGGCCGCCCCTCCACGGTGACCCCACCTCGCCCCGGGAGGCGCGTCTGTGCTCTGGGAGGCGCCCTGTGAGGTAGCTACGTCTCGCCCTCTTTCTCCAGGGCCTGGCCTGCGGCGCCCCTGACCGCGCAAGCGTGCACGCGGCTCCGGCCTGGGGCGCGGGGGCCGGGGGCTAGGGGTGGGGCCGCCGAGGGCCCCGCCCGGCGCGGCCCCGCCCCCATCCCCCCACGTGGGAACGCCCTCGCGGGCCCAGTCCGCGCGCTCGCGCCCGGCGCGCTAGGCCTTCTTGCACTTGCCCTTCTTCTCGCGCTGCTGGAACTTGCGCAGCCGCCGCGCCCACGTGTCCCGCCACTGGATCACCAGGCTGCTCTTGTCGGCCACGATGCCGCTCTGGTCGGGCGAGTCCTCGGCGCTGCCCAGCAGCAGGTACTTCTTGAGGGGCTTGATCTTAGGGCACTTGCAGGCGACGTCCCGCGAGCGGATCCACAGGCTCTGTTCACCGCGGCGGATGCGACTGGCGCCCTGCTTGTATACCGAGATGATGTTCACCGTGAACTTCCACCAGTCCCCTGCCTTGTCCGCCTTCAGGACGTTGATCTGGACGGCTGTAAGGGAAGCACAGGCCGGCGGTGGGCGGGGGGCTGCGGAGAGCCACGGGGCCGGGGAAGCCAGGCCTCCCATGCAGCGGCAGCTGCGAGGACACAGGAGGGGCCTTGGGTCGGGCACACCGCCCCCACCCCCCACCCCGGGGGCTGCCTGCGTAAGGATGGTGTCTGCACCCAGCTTTGGGAGGCAAAGGAGACCCCAAGTCCCTGTAGCATGCAGCCGGTGGGCAGTGGCCACTCCCCATTCCCCACTGGAGTGGCTGGGGGAGACGGCACCCTCCAAAGACCCCAGTCACTCAACACCCAGCCTCCTGACCACCCCACACCCAGGTGCAGAGAAGCCAACAGCCCGCGTGCTGGTCCTGTCCGCCTCGCCTGTGCCTACACTTTAGCCCCTGCCCGGCTGCCTCCGTCCCCTGGGCCTCCCCGGTTCCCCAGGCCGTGCCCTCCAACCAGTTCTCCGCCAGTGCAGGGGTTCACGCGCTGCAGCGTGTGCCAGCCTCCCCCGGGGGCTTAGGGAAATGCACACGGCTGGGTCCTGCCCCAGGAGCTCCTTGTAGGACCCTAGGATGTGTACCTCTCACACGTCCCCAGGTGGGGCTGACGCCTCACCCCCAGGATGCACTGGTAAATGCCAGCACACTTCTGTAGCGCAGGAAGGGGCATTTTAAAAATGGGAAGAAATGCATTTTATGAGGGGGAGTCACAGATACAGGTCCCGGTTCCTCCCTGCCGTGGGGCAACCATGACTTCGACGTATTCAGTGCTTAACTGGATCGTTTTACTCTGTATCGAAACCTTGTGCTGTACCCCATAAAAACCTAACAAGAATCAGAAGTCAATCAAAAATTTTAAATCAAAATATCCTAAAAGCAAGGACAGGTATCTGGCCTAGCAGCTAAGATGTCTGGATTCCTAAGGCCCTTCCTGGAGGGCCAGGCCCTGCCTCCCGATTCCGGCTTCCTGCTAACGTGCATCCCGGGAGGCGGCATGAAGGCTCAAGTAGTTGGGCTCCTGCCCCCCACAAGGCAGACCTGCACTGAGCTCCCGGCTCCCACCCTCAGCTCCAGCCATCAGCGGCACTGGGGGAGTGAACCAGCAGGTGTGAGCTCACCGGCTGGTTCTCTGCCTCTTTTTTTTTTTTTTTTTTTAAAGGACAAGGAACTATAGTCTCAAGTAAGTTTGCAGAATCCTGGGTTAAACACAGGTGGGTTCCGATAGCCTGCCTTCCGCAGCCTTGAGTGCACCAAGCACATGCGCCTGTGTTGGTTTCTGGGACAGCTCCGACTGCCCGGTTGGACCACCTCAGACCACCAGCACTTCAGGGGGCTGACAGAGAGCTGCTAGGGGCTGGGGCATGCATGATCATCCCCATCAGCACACGGGGGTCCCTGGCAAAGGCCTGCAGCACGCTCAACCTCTGCCATCGTCCCATCCCCGTGTCCAGCACCCGCCGCACTGCACCCTTCAATACAGAGACACGCTGTCCGCTGAGAACAGGGCGCCAGCTTGGAGAAGCCACAGAACAGGCAGGCTCGGTGGCTTCAGCAGCCAAGCCGTGGTCAGCACCTGCCAAGCCAGGCACTGGGCACCCGTGCAGCTCGGCCCACCTCTCCCAAGTTCACCTGCACTCCCCGGGGGTACTCCCTGCACCCACGCCTGGCCCAGGATGACTGGGAGGTACAGAGACACCCACACCAGGTGGAGCGGCAGGCACACCTGACTCCTCCTCGTGGGGGTAGGTGTGGTGAGTGGCGGATTTTCCCGTGTTTTCATTTTAGCTGTTCCTGGGCATCCCGAACTTTGCACTCCAGTCTGAGGGCTCCAAAGAATGGCTGCCATGGCAACTGTTTCCATGTTTTTGTCACCAAGGGACTCAACACTCAGTGTGAACTCTTAGGGGGTGGGAACCGGGGGCTCCGGGGAAGTGGCTGGGCCCTGTGGATCTGACTGCAGACGGAGGTCACCGTGGCAACCGTGTGCCCCTCCATGGGAGCCCCAGTTTCCTCTCCCCAGGCCGAGCTGAATACACAATGAGCCTCCCTCGGGCGAAGGCTGCTCCCTGTGTGGACTTCAGAGCCCGGGGCTGCTGTGCAGCCACGGCTGGGGACGCAAGGCCCCGAGGGTGTCTTGAAGCTGTAGGCTGAACTGTGCCCCCACCCCCAGGTTCAGAAGTTACAGCCCCACCCCTGCACTTGAGGGCGGGACTGAACCTGCAGACGTGGTCTGTGGAGAGCAAGGAGATGACATCACGAGGGTGGGCCCTAACCAGACAGGACACACACACACAGCAAAGTCCACATGAGATCCCTGGCCTCTGGGGCTCAGGGCGGTGCTAAAGAAGCCCAGCTTGTAGGACCTTGTTCCAGTGCCCTAGGAGCCAACAAAATTCATCTTGAGGACCGGGGGGCTTGGGCCTCAGCTCCCAGCCAAGCAGGAAGACAGGCCTGACAGGGTCTCTCGAGGGCGCAAAAGGAGGTCAGAAAGGGCTGGCTGGGCGAGGGCCAGCCTTGGGCTAGCCTTGGACTGGCCTGCCAGGCCCCCTGAAGGCCTCTTCACCCCCTGCACACCCCCTCCCATGTCTCCAAGCCTTCCCTCCCCGAGACCAGGCAGGGCACAGGGGGCAGCCTCCTCTCCCCACAGCACAGGACAACACCCCCAGGGTACCCTCCCCCAGACACCTTGCAAAGCAATGGACACTGGCCAGCTGGGACAGAGCAACTGGCCTTTGCCTGTCTTCTACCCATAGCAGATCCCAGCAGCCCCCAGGATGAGACGGTACAGGCCCTGGGGGCAAGAGAGGGCGGCGCTAGGATTCGAGTGACCATGCTGGAAAAAAATCCACATTTCTGCTGCCCTTGGCAATGCCTCTGCACATTACACAGCCCACCAAGTATGAGCTGCTCATGCAGTGCACGGGCCAAGTACCAAAGCATTCAAAATCCACAGCGCAGCGGTGACCTCGAAACCGCCACTCACACACAGGGAGCCCGCACGTCGGCACGCCACATCCACCCCTCCGCGAGGCCCCTCCCAAGACTCCAGGCTTCTGAGAACCTGCTGCAGTCTTGGGGTTGCCTCCCAGCTCTGGTACCAATGGCACAGCAGTGTAACACGCAGGGCCTCGAGGCGTGATGACGTCATCACCAGGACTCCTCCCATACAAAGGGAGCAAGTGCCCCCGCCCCTCCCACCACAGAAGGCTGCAGCCATCATCAGCCAGCCAAGCTGATGGCCTCGCCACCTTGACCGTCCCAACTCCTAGTGCTACACCTGCCCAGGGTTTACCAATGGCCTGATGTCAGGTGTTGCATGAGAGCAGCCCCGCAAGACCAAGGGATACCCAGAGCCGGAAACCACCCTCTCCCCTCCCCGGCCTCGCACAGATGTCCTACAAACTGGCTTGATGGAGGCTAGAACGGGGCTCTGGTGGGAACACTCCAGGCTACTAGAGTCAGGCCTTTGCGGGGGGGGGGTGTTGAGGGACCCAGCCTCAAGCCCATGGCCCTTCTCCAAGGCAGAGACCAAGACCAACAGGGCCACACAGCCTGCTGCTGCTTCTGCTCCGTAAGTGATGCCCTGCAAACCCAGGGTCCCTTCCTCCGGGCCCCTGCTCACCCTACAAAGTGAGAGGTTGGGCAGCCAGTGAGCTGGGACCCTTGCGGTTGACCAGCCGAGTCTGGGGGCACCAGGGGGAAGTGGGACTTCAGGATGGAGCAAGAACAGAGCAAGGTCCAGGGCCTGGAGGTCTGGCCAGCCTTCAGCTCCTGGCAATGCCGCCTGCCCTAGAGCTGGCCGCAGAACTCGGTCAGCAGGGCGGGGCGGTGACGGCCCTGAGCAGTGCTAGGGCTCAGAGCCAGGACTTCCACGCAAAGAGCCCTTCTCTGGGACCAGGGCACGGGCCCCTCTCAGGCTCCCAGGGGGCAGGAAGGAGGCCTGAGCCTGTGTTGGGCTGGCTGAGCGCCCAGCAGGCAGGGGAGGGGAGGAGGCTGGTTAGGACAGGCCAGGTGCCTGGAGCACCTCACTCTTGGGCAAGTAGGTGCCGTCCTGTCCCACGGGCTACTGCTGGCCACGTCACCAGACTGCAGTGGGAGGCACCAGCACGTCCTCCCGGGAGTCCCAATACTGGGTGAGACCCCAGGCTGTCAAGGACCGCCTAAAACGTGGGGCGCTCCAGGTCACTTCCTGCGCTCAGATTCTTCCAAAGCAGGGTCTGGGTTCCCCCAGGGCAGCCCCTCCTCTGTCCAGAGCCTCTACTCATTCAAAACCCACCTCCATCCCTTCCCAGCCGTGGCCCTGGCGGGCAGCCACCATGCCTGTGAGCTCTGGGCCTTCCAGGGACCAGCGGTGCTCCCCACCCAGGAAAGTCGGGAGTGGGAGGTGGCCGGGCACAGGCTGGGGGGCCTCCTGCTAGGATCAAAGCTCCCCACCTGGGCCAGGGTCGAGGAAAGCTGCCTGCCGCTCGCTCACCTGCTTGCTGGGGATGTTCTGCAGCAGGACAGGGCCCAGTGAGCAATAAACCACCTGCTGGGTGGGCCCTGGGAAGGGCGTGGCCCGGGCTCTCCAGGCAAGGTCTGAATGGAGGGATACCTCTGCAGGGTGGTTTCCTGCCTCCCGGAGGTCTCCCGGATTTATGGGCTGCTCTGGTGGGCCCCTAGGGGTTTTTGCAGCAGTAGCTCCTCCCAAGGAAGCTTGGGTGGTCACCCCCTGCCTCCCCAGGCCCAGCCCTACTTTCCGGTTGGGCCTGTCCTGCTAGGGGAGGCTTGTCACCCATCTGCCTCAGAGACAGCGGCCAATACGGCCGGGGGAGGACGCTCAGCCCACAGAAACCATTGAGCCCACGCCGCCCCATAAATCTGCCCAGACAGAAAGCGTGTCAGGAGCTGCAGCTGCCTTCGTAAAATGTGGCTCTGACCGCACGGTTCCCGGGCCGCAGCCAAGTCTTGTTCTCATGGACGCCGATTTGCCAGGGACCCTCCCCTCCGACTTGGGGCTCACGA